GACATGGGAAAAGTTCACCTGCACACAGACATGGGAAAAGTTCACCTGCACACAGACATGGGAAAAGTTCACCTGCACACAGACATGGGAAAAGTTCACCTTGAAAGACACAGACATGGGACAATCAGCTGATGAGAAAAAAGTTCACCTACACACAGACATGGGACAAAGTCACAAACAGAGATGGGAAAAGTTCACCTACACACAGACATGGGACAAACAGCTGATGGGAAAAGTGCATTTACAACTAAAGTTTACATTTACTCAGATTTTCTTCGTTTTAGTTTTAGTCAAAGATTTACGGCAGTTGCAACACAATGAGGTGACAAAAGTGGCGAAGGTTAGAGGTGGTGTTACTGCAACATGTACAAGTGTAGTAGAGAGGAACAGACAAAGAACACAAGGAAGCGACACCGTCAGAGCGATGGATGTTGGACAGCAGAGAAGGAGCAAGCCGCACCAGAGCACCCGCCAACCAACCACCCACTCACTCGGGAACAGTATATCAGTCGCCATTACAAAGACTCTCCTCCCAGGCATAGACACATTATGGGCTACAACACCCGGCCACTGTGCTCAGCTGTCCCCGTCCTTTTATGCACGAACAAATGTGAAATTATGCGATTCTGTTAATTTTAACAAAGAATAATAAAGGAAAATAGTCAGAAATTATGCGAAAAAATGATCAAATTTTGCTAAATTATGGGGGGTGCATAAAACCACGGGGACAGCAGTTGGCCGCCATTCCAAAGGTGCTCCCCCCAGTCAAAGACACACATGGTGCATACAACACTCGGCCACTGTGTACTGGGACCTACTTCCGGGTCACCCCGGCCCCAGCAGCAACAACAGCAACAACAACAACAACAACAAACAACAACAACAACAAGGACTGCCTCACCCGCTACCCAAGAGAGGCGGTGGCCCTGGTGAAGAGCACGCTCTTCGGGGCTCCAAACATTTCGAACGGATAGGCTACCTCACACACACACACTCACACTCAACAACAACAACAACAAACAACATCATCAACAACAACAAACAACACCTTCAACAACAACCACCACAACAACAGGGCAGCGCGGACTGACCCATACCTTTGCTGCCAGACTCCGCTCGTTCTCATAAACCAGCCAGCCGCCGTCTCCTTCCTGCCTCCTCTCTGTGCTGGCTTGTCCTTCTCCTTTATGTCTTCTTTCTGTACCGGCTTCTCCTTCTCCTCCCTCTCCTCTCTTTGTTCCGTCTTGTCCTCCTTGTCCTCCCCCCTCCCTCCCCCC